ACCAAGGCCCTGATGTAGTAACAACTCTTAGTACATAAATTCTCTTACACAGGCTGTGACTGTAATATTATCTTCTGTTCTTGTTAATTGTTTCACCCTATCTAACAATAATTTTCCAAGTAATTTTCATATGCATATTTAAGCTTTCTTTATGATATTTTCGTTTTTAGCTTCAGAAAGAAACCAGATCTCATTTGGTAAAATTAGAAACCTGCAATTCTGTCCTCCTATTTTCCTAAAGATGTAAAATGGAAAAAAACTATATATACAAGTAAATTAAAAAAAGCCCCAACATAGAAATCCTATTTTCTGAAAGGATTTTACAAACATCCGTTACTTTCATTTCTGAGCAGTTAGGAAAAGAGAAAAAAAGCACAAATTCTCTGAACATCCTTCTTCTCAAGGCTAAAGCTCTGTTTATGGGACAGGGAAGAAGAGATGACCAAAATGCTTGGCAATAGTAATCAAATGGAATAAAAGGGGTCTTTGAGCACTGAAAGCTATTTACAGCAATCTATAAGAGACAAGTCTTACAAGGAAATGGTTAAAAATCTCATGAAGTCAAAGTTCCTTGGGAAAGTTTTTGACACCAATTTTAAACCAATACAGCAGACAATTGCAGCATGATAAAATATAAACTCAGTCTCTTTAAGATTTGATAATCAAATACAAATTACTAAGAGTAAAATGAGTGCATTAAAAAATACCCAAACCTCTTCCCACCTCCACATAACTTGTTTACTGATGTTATTCATCAAATAGGTGCTTTCATTTTTTAGATTAAAGTTTCAGTGGAAAGTCTTCCAGAGAGCAGAACAGTATATAGTTGTACAAGTAAGTCAAATTTAAAATTTTCTTGTAGGAAAATAAGTAAATACAAACAGCCACCAGTAACAAGCATTATGACCCACTAAAATATGATACACATTAATAGTTTATCAATAAAAAGAAATATTGTTTTCAGTGTCAGTGAAGCCTCACTGACAAATAGCTAAAATCAGGATGTTGATCATATGGAAACAACTTCTTCAGTACCAAGAGTTTCCAATGCCCTCAATGTTGAATCTGAAAGCGGACTACTCACAGTTCACACAGGCCTCTTCAGAAAATGACAATAATAATAAAGTAGCATTTACTGCCATCTGCATAAAGATTAAAAACTTCTAATACACGAGAGAGACACTTCCTCACGGAGAACTAGGCTTTCAGGAACATGACAGATATGACATCCATCCTTCTTAATGGGATGTCTAATTAGCAGTGACTGAGGAAACTGAAGGGCTTTGATGAATGAAGATAAAACATGAAGTGACAAACTACCAAAGAGCATAGTGTGATTTAGCTCAACATTCCTAAAAGTTATCCAAATCAATTCAGTATAAAAACAAAAGGACCTTGACTGCTACTTTAAAACCACAGTCTTAAGATATTAATTGCTGGGAAAAGTCACCAGGTTCAGGAAGTTCACTAGGAATACTGAAGAGTCATCTTACAGAACCTGCATTTTATTCAATGCATTAAAAAACTGAGGTGGTTTCTCTCCCTCTCCTCATTGTGTATGCTTACAAGAACTTTAAGTGAACTAATCTAACATTAACATGTTTTCTATTTAATTTAAACTGTAAGTAATTATATTCAACAATTGAGACTTCCTGATAGTTTTTTAAAGAAATTCTCTGTTGCACCTTATAAAACCAAGGGACATGTTAATGACAGTGATGTCTGGGATGAGTTGCTTGTCAGTAGAATTGCCTTGTTGGGGTTTGGGGCTTGACGTGGTTTGGGGGTTGCAGACCTAGGGGAAGGTTAATGATACTGAAGAATGCAAAATTTAGAGACCAAAAGGACCTTTGCCCAAGATAAGAAGAAACTAACAAAGCCAACTCATCAGCTGTACTGAAATCAACTCAGACTGGGTAAAAGGTAATTCCGTCAGGGGGAGATCATGACCACTAATTGACCCCCGAATCAAATGAAAGAGCCCTGAGTATGCGCAGTAGCTAATAATGAATTACAAAATACCTCGTGCAATCAGCCCTTTTATGAGTAACCAATAGCAGAGTAGTAAACATTGAATATATATTAGATAGGTGGAATATATTAAATTACCATCATATAAAAAGAATTCCTCTCTCATAATGTTAGTTCCTAGCACAGCCCTATACTTTGTTCTACAATCACTGAAGAGCCTATAGGTGCCAGATACATCATCCTCACTCCCCAGTAAGTCATAAACCTTTTTTTTTAATTCAAGTCAGCAGTAGGGTGCTGCACAATTAATTATAGTGGAACAGCGTTATCAAATGAACTTCCTATAAAGTTGAAATGATCACCTGATCAAATTCACCACTTCCAAAAATCTCTTGGAGTGCTCTGACAAATCAGATTTTATGGATTAGACTTCAGCAGATTAAGGGAAAAAGTATAAGGCTGACAAACATGACTGATTTGGATGAGATGAAGGAAAATTTATACTTTTATTTGAAAATATCATAATGCTGAAATAGAAAAAGGAGATTTTCTATGATTTATAAAGTGTATATACACATGTACATGTATATATGTCTATATATTCTGTCTAAGTAAAGTTCAGGTTCATGATCACCGGAGGTCTATGGGACCTGATGAGATACATCCCAGAGGCATGAGGGAATTGGCTGATGTAGTTGTCAAGCCAGTCTTCATGATATTTGAAAAGTCGTGGCAGTCAGAGGAAGTCCCAGGTGACTGGAAAAAGGGAAACATCCCTGGAAGTGTTCAAGACCCGGTTGGATGTGGCCCTGTGTAGTGGGTCTCTGTGGCTGGGTTTTGGTAGCGGGGGGGCACTACAGGGGTGGCTTCTGTTAGAAGTTGCTAGAAGCTTTCCCTGTCCTGTGGAGCCAATGCCAGCCAGCTCCAGGATGGGCTTCCTGCCACTGGCCAAGGCCAAGCCAATCAGAAGTAATAGTAAAGCCTCTGTGATAACATATTTAAGAACAGAAAAGTTGTTGCACAGAAAGAATTCCAGTCAGGGAAGAGCAAAGTGAGAACATGGGAACAACAAAGTAGACACCAAGGTCAGTGCAGAAGGAGGGGGAGGAGTGCTCCAGATGCTGGAGCTGAGGCCCCTGCAGCCCGTGGTGAAGACCATGGTGGAGCAGGTTGTCCTCCTGCAGCCCATGGAGGACTGTTGGGATGCAGAGACCCACCTGCAGCCCATGGAGGAGCCCATGCTGGAGCAGGTGGATGCACGAAGGGGGCTGTGACCCCGTGGGAGGCCCAAGATGGAGCAGGGTCCTGCCGGAGACCTGCAGCCCATGGAGAGGGAAGCCCATGCTGGAGTAGGTTTTTCCCAGGTAGGACTTGTGGCTCCTGTGGTGTTTGTAAGATTATTTTATTTCTCACTCTTGCTCTGATCCTGTTTGTAATAAATTCAGTTAATATGCCCACTTTGATTGCCTGTGATGATCAGTGAGTGACCTCTCCCAGGTGTTAACTCATGAATCCTTAGCTGTTTTTTTTCCTCTCTCCTCTGTCCAATTGCAGAGGAAGAGTGAGAGAGTGGCTTTAAGTGGGTACCTGGCATCTGGCCAGGGTCAACCCACTACACCTTGAGCAACCTAGTCTAGTGGAAGGTGTCCCTGCCCATGTCAGGAGGGTCAGAACTAGATGATCTTTAAGGTCCCTTCCAACCCAAGCCATTCTATAAGTGTATAAAGGGTATTGTGGAACAAGTCTAAAGTAAAGACCTAGAAAACTGTGCAAAAAATACATAAGTCTATTAAAGAGTGTTTAAAACTTGGTAAAGCTGTTTTATCTTTACATGAACAGATGCCTACTACACATACTTTATATACATATTGTATAACACTTAATTTTTCTGAATGTTCCTCATTCAAACTTAGCCAAGTATAATCCAGTAACAGATTAAAATGGCCAAATACTTTCTTTTAAAGTTTTTTAATGAAATTTTATTCCCATCTTCTTCGCATTAAAGTTGAAGTCTGAATGTGAATGACTTCCCCTGCCCCTTTCTGTCATTCCTGCTATTCCTATTTAATTTTCACTAAAGAAAAACCAACCAAAACCAAGATGGTTTGAAAGGGCATGTCTGTCATTCACTTCCTAATACAACAGATGTGGTAAGAAAAAAAATATTATTTTTCCTCCCCTGTTCCATCTGCTTGGAAGAAACATTGAGGTTTGCAAAATAACAACATTTTCTCCCATTTGAGCGGATCCCTCTCGCGCAGCTGGCATAATGAGGACAGCTACAATTTAGAGAAACGTGTAATATTCGTTAATAACTTTGATTTACTGCAAATGTCCTATCGGAGGCATTTCTAAGCACAGGGCTGGTACCGTTCCTCTGTTAACAGCTGTGCTGACTTCTGTTCGAGTGGCCCCTTCTCACGTTCGAACTAAAAGAGCTAGTCTCGCCAGCACGCATCTCCCGAGTGGCGCGGGCTGCCAGACAGGTAGGCGAGTGGGCAGGGGTCAGGCCTGGGGCGCTCCCGCCCGTCCCCCCTCCACTTGGGATGAGTCCGAGCGAATAAAAAGGTAGGGCACAGAAAACAGGCTTTCAGGAAAACGGGAAACGAGTCCTACACCTGGGAAGCACTTCGGGGCAGCCTGCGAACACGCTTCTCGTCAGGCTGTGACTCAGTGCCGACAGCCCCAACCGGGTAACCGCGGCTCTGACCGCCACCACGAGAACACAAAATTCGCCATGTTTCTACAGGCCACTCCAGAGATACCGCAACTGCTCCCCTCCACCGGACCGGAGCCGCCATCTTAGGTCCGGGCGGAGCCCCTTTCCCCTACGCTCCTGCCCCATACAAAGGGGTGGGACCACGTGACAAACACATACCCCCACCCTCTTGCGGGACACCGGTGTCCACACTCAAAATGTTACATAGGACCTTCTGCCTCTTTCCTTCCCTCCATCCTCTCGACCCCTCCAAGCCTCTTCCTCATCCCAAGTCTCTATTGCTCTGGAGGCCGACGCAGACCCTGCTTACTCCGGGGGATAGAGGCGCAGCTCCTCGATATCTCCCAGGAAGCCGAAGAGAGTCCGCATCTGCTCACTGGTCACTGTCGAGGAGACGTTCGTGACCTGGATGACAGACGTGGGGCCCAAGGGGAAGCCTAGCGGCACCCCGATCCCTCCGCTGCTCATCATGGCGGAGCCTGCACGACTGCTCCGTTCACGACAGTGCCAGACACAGTTTGAGAGGCGGGTCTGACCACAGAGGCAAGCGCGCGGCGCCTGCCAGAGCGTCCTAGCATGCGGGCGCTCTAGCGGCGGACTCGACTGCTCCTTGGAGGTGTTTTTGGGCGGGCAGCCGTTCTTCCCGTGCCGACTGGGGCTCACGGAGGAGCGGGCGCTTTCCCTCCGTGCCGACGGGACTCCGAACTCTGCAGATCCCCCTGCAAGAGGGGAGGGGAAAAGAAACCCAACCTTCTCTTCCCTCCGCTTTTCCAAGGAGCCAGCCAGGCCGTCGTTACCAGGGCGGGGCCGCGCCCCTACCTCCCCCGGCCTCCCTTTACACACGCGCTACCCGCCCCAGGCTATCAGGGGACTGGATTACAGATCCTGCGAGAGTGAGGCTGCATAAGAGAGGAAGCGAGCACGACGGCCCGGACGCCACACGCAGGGGGGTTAGATAGTTCCATCGCTCGTGGGGAAAGCACAGCTGAGAGCACCTGACTAATTCTTGCACGAACAGGGTCTGGAGTACCTTGTTACCTGGTTTCATAGAATCATAGAATCATCTGGGTTGGAAAGGACCTCTGAGATCATCAAGTCCAACCCTTGATCCACTACCACCACAGTTACTAGACTATGGCACTAAGTTCCACCTCGTCTCATCTTAAAAACTTCCAGGGACGGAGAATCCACCACTTCCCTGGGCAGCCCATTCCAATCCCTGATTACCCTCTCTGTAAAGAATTTCTTCCTAATATCTAACCTAAACCTCCCCTGGCAGAACTTAAGACCATTCCCTCTTGTCTTACTGATAGCTGCCTGGGAAAAGAGACCAACCCCCACCTGGCTACAACCTTCCCTGGTCCTGTTGGCCATACTGTTTCTGATACAGGCCAGGATGCCATTGGCCTTCTTGGCCATCTGGGCACACTGCTGGCTCATGTTCAGACTCCTGTCAATCAGCACCCCCAGATCCCTTTCCGCCTGGCTGCTCTCCAGCCACTCTGTCCCCAGCCTGTAGTGCTCCATGGGGTTGATGTGGCCAAAGTGTAGGACTGGCACTTGGCCTTGTAGAACCTCATCCCGTTGGAATCAGCCCAACTCTCCAGTCTGTCCAGGTCCCTCTGCAGAGCCCTCCTGCCTTCCAGCAGATCAATACCACCCCCCAGCTTGGTGACATCTGCAAATTTGCTAATGGTACACTCGATCCCCTCATCCAGATCATCAATAAAGATATTAAACAGAACTGGGCCCAGCACTGATCCCTGGAGGACACCACTATTGACTGGCCACCAACTGGGTGCAGCACCGTTCACCAGCACTCTCTGGGCCCAGCCCTCCAGCCAGTTCTTAACCCAGCAGAGAGTGCCCCTGTCAAAGCCATGGGCTACCAGCTTTTCCAGGAGTATGCTGTGGGAGACGGTGTCAAAGGCTTTGCTGAAGTCCAAATAGACCACATCCACAGCCTTCCCCTCATCTACCAGGCAGGTCACCTGATCATAAAAGGAGATCAGGTTGGTCAGACAGGACCTGCCCTTCCTAAACCTCTGCTGGCTATGTCTGATCCCTTGTCCATCCTGTAGGTGCTGTGTGATTGCACTTAGGATGATCTACTCCATAATCTTGCCAGGCACTGAGGTCAGGCTGACAGGCCTGTAGTTTCCCAGGTCCTCCTTCCGGCCCTTATTGTGGATTAGCGTGACATTTGCCAACTTCCAATCATCTGGGGCCTCCCCAGTGAATCAGGACTGTTGGTAAATGATGGAGAGTGACTTGGCGAGCTCTTCCACCGTTTCCTTGTCCTTTAGCAAAGCAAAAGGCTTCTTCTTCTAAAACTGGAATACCAAAGAGTCTGGGTACAAAACCGCACCTTTAATAGGTCATATTTAACTCTATTAATTGATTTGGTATGAAATCCACTGAATGTTCTGTCAGCAAATTAAAACATGCCTACAAGAAATGGAATGAAAAATAGATTTCCCATACTCTTTTGGTAACCAAGGTCAATAAGAGGCAGCTAAACTACCCTAGGGAGTAAACCCTTGAAAACTTACCCTAACTATGTTTAAACAGGAAGAGTTGTAATTGAGTAGGTTGTTAATGGTTTTGATGTCCAGGTGTTAGAAAGATAAATTACTTGTTGGTAGAATGGCCTTGTTAAGGTTTAGGGATTGACATGTTTCAATGATCTCAGACCTAAGGGGAGGTTAACAAAGCTTTGGAAGAAGGATGTACCACTGATAGCGGGCACAAAGAATGCAGAATTTATGGGCCACAAGGACATTTTGCAGAACTCCCAAGATAAGGAAGAAGCTAATAAAGTCTACTCAGGAATTTTGCAGAAATCAGATCTGACTGGGTAAAAGATAATTCTGGCAGGGGGAGATCTGCAACCACCAACTCACAGACCACGGACCCAAGAAACCCACCAACTCGAAGAGAAAGACTGAGCATGTGGACTAATTAGCATGAGAAATGAGAGAATCATTAAGCGATAGAAGATAGAATACTAATTATTAAGAGAACTATGTAACTTGTAGCCAATGAACATTAATGCCTTTGTTTGCTAAAATGTATAAATGGTAAAGTTTTGATAGTCATTGTGCTGGCTTTGTGGATTTGCCACCCAGCACCCCTTTCTGCACAAGACTGTAAATAAATCAAATACCTCAACTCTGTGTGGGGATTGGCCTCTTGCACACCAGGTTAAAGAACCCATTTTGGGACAATAGTTTTGTTATAACTTGACTGGGAATGTATACCAATTAAATTGATTTTACCTGGAGTTACAGTTCAAGTTCACTTTAAAAGTTAAATTGACTGGAGAAAATGAGACTGAGCACTATGCATGTGAGTGATCAGTATTATCGAACTGCAGTCTTGCTTAGGTGTTAAAGGACTGTGTATATTGATGCCCAAAAAGGCGCATTGAAAACTGCTCAGAGACAGTTTTGAGTCTTTAAGCAGCAAAAGGTATTTATTAGAGAGCAACGTTGGGGGCTAGCCAACTTGAGATGGACAAAACTAACCCAAAGTTATCAGTGTAAAGTCAAGTATTTATACAGTTTTGTGAGAGATTACATAATTTTTACATGCATATTCATATTATTGCGACATTTCATTATAATATTCATAGCAGGCGGAGTTTGGGCAGAGTCTGGGCAGAGTTGTCCTTTTGGGGTGCTGTTTCAGGGGTCGTTCCTGTTTCTTCATCCTCAGGGGGTCTCATTCCAGAAGTCTTCCTCGCTTTGAACTTTTCAACTTTCTTAGTTGACTGTCTTCCTGATGGTGAATTTTGCAAGATTTTGGACTCATGCCCCTATTTCACCCCTTATCTCTTAAGGAACCCTTCCTCATGTCTATTTATGCGTGTTAGCATTTTTGATGTTCTTTATTTCTCTGTGTTCTTACTTTATGTTCTTTGTGTTAGTGTGTTAGCATTCTTTGGCCAGGTGTCATCTTTCACTAGCCTTGAATTCTGGTTCCTTCAGTTCTTTACCCAGAGCTTGCATTCTGAGTTAACTCCTTCAGGGCCCTGCTCTGTTTCTGGCACTGAAAGATTTAAGGTTACAGACAAGAATATTTTAGCTTTTAAAACCTTCCATACCCCAAACTTGAACTGACAAAATGGATTTTGAAAGTTGCTTGCATTCAACCTCACCTCCCAGTCCTTCCAAAATCCCCTGAGCCTGTGCTCCCAAATTTCATCTCTGTTTTGCTCTGATCCTTTTAAGTTCTTTCATGGATTATTTATACAACTTGCAGTGCACTAGAACAGAGTGAAACCTGTCCTAACAACCCTTAACCAGAATGCTGGGGGAGAAGTAAAATCAGGGCAGGCTTCCCCAGAAGAGCTGTCATGGTTGACCATCATCCATTGCTTCTCTTATGTTTACATGCTTATGCACATGTGAAAGGTGGTGTTGTAAAAGCACCAGAATGGGTTTCCTGGGCTACTCTTTTGCCTTCTGTGTGATTTTAGCAGCATATTAGGGTTTCCAACTTGGGAATAAACTTATCCTTAATACCTTAGCCGTGGTTTGGTATCTGGGTTTACCTGCATGCATATCAATTCTTGGAGTGTCCATATGTCACTTCTCACCTTCCTTCCTCTCCTTTTAAGTTATTTATTATCAAGTGAGCCATAAAATGCTTATAGAAAGAGTGAAGAGCAAAGATTTTGAGTCCCTTTAAAACTTCCAGGTGGACAGAGAAGGGTCATCAGTAAGTCCTGGAGGTGCAGGAAGGAGAACTGAGATGTTCCCATGTCCTGAAGTGGTGAGCAGATGTGGAAAAGGGAAGGGAAATCCCTCCAGGACCCCTCCATATAACTTTGCTATCAAGCACTGCAAACATCTTGGGGATGCGGAGCTTCTGGAGCTGCACCATGGGCTGCACATCATTGAATTGTTGACCAATTTCATGGTTGACCTTGCTTCTCTGTTGTTCACTCCTGGCATCTTGCCAAAGGTGACACACTACCAGGACTTAAAGAATGTAGTTAATTGTCCCAAAACACTGTCAAAGAAGGAGATAAGCCACCACAACAGGAACCTGTGATAAGAGCAGATGGCAACGACAGGAACCAGACCTGATAAGGCAGATCTGGGTAACCTACCTGAACAAAGATTCCCACCATGGAATACTGTGAGAAAGGAAAGTGTTAATTACAGACCTAAATGAAAGTAAAGGTTTGAAATTAGCATACTGGACAAAATGTCAGCTGTGGGAAAGTAAATAACTACTTATACCCACGCCATCCCAAGTTATGGGAACATCTGGGATGCCCCATGAATATCCAGGACTTGGACTGTATAAAAGTGGTACCCAAGAAGCACAACTTTGGGACCCTCACCACTGAGAGGACCAGAAGAAGGACTGGCAGGATGCTGTCAGAATACATGTGGTGGTGATCTTTTTACTCATCTGTCTCATTCTTCCTATTTCTCTCCCTCTCTCTCTACCTCATATTTACCGTTAAATAAAATCCATAC